ACACTCCTAGGACCCCAGACTGCTGAGTGTGTCCACTAGGGCATTTCGAGTTCACCCACTTGTCGTCAGCCTCATAGGCTGTAGAGGAGGCCTTGGCCCCCTTTGTTTGGTGAGGGTGGTGGCAGAAGCCTCCCGCAGGTTCCTCCAGGCCTGGGCTCCTCCCATTCCATGCTCCACTTTCCTCTAGCATGCAGTGTTCCCTTACTGAGCCACTCAGTATGTTGTTTCCTGCCTGTCAGCCTGGGTCAGGTCTTGTCTCCCCTGTCTAGCCTGCACATGTCCACGGCGGTGTTCAGGCCATCTCCTGTGGCTAGCTGGCCTCAGAATCATGGGACCCAAAGGACCAAACCCTCAACTCAGGGGGCTCAGGGCAGTCCGTCCAGAGTCCTATCCTGGGAATTGCTTGGATGTGGGGGACAGCCAGGAGGTGGTACTGACCAGGGTGCTGCACCTCGCCCCCCTACGCACCCTGACCTGAGACCCAGGCAGTGGGACATTGAGGTGGCTCTCCCCGCTGCCAGCTGCACTCTACCTAGGTGCTTCCTAGAGCTGGGGGGCCTGGGAGCCCATCTCTCCCGCTGCCCACAGTGTCCTTCTGGGAACCTCTTTCCTCCTCTGTGAATGGGGACCCTTTATACCTTTCAGGAGTCAGAATACCCCGGCTCAGATCTGGCCTTGGGGATCCTGGCAGGAGGTCATGGTGGGGAGGTGACCCATGTGATCAATCGCCCCTCTCAGCTCATTTTCCAGGTAGCCCTGAGGGGAGAATTCACATGCCAACTGTCCTCTAGGCAGGACAGCTCCCTAAGGACACTTGCAAGAGAGCTGGGAACATGTGCAGGACAGAGGAGGGTGTGAAGGGGACAGCGGCATGCTGGTCTGACTCTGCAGAAGATTTGTAGGACTTCATTGGGATAATCCGGGCCCAAGAGACTTGGTTCGGCCACTCACCATGACCAAATTGTAAAGCATGAATCTATTCATTGCAGCCACTGTTGGAAAGAATGCGGGACTAGTGTCCTAATTCCTGCCCTCTGGGTGCTGATAGTAGCTACAAGAGCAAACAGGGAAGGGGCTGAGAGATAGCTTGGTGGCATAAGCACTTGCCTGGCAAGCTCAAGGTCCTGAGTTTGATCCCTCGTACCAAAAAAAAAAAAAAAAAAAAAAAAAAAAAAAAGTAAACAAGAAACAAGGAAGAACGGTGGGGGGCATGCATAGTTACACCATCTTGGTCAGATTGTGCTCTGGGTGACCATCACCTCAGGCCTGGTTCCACAGGGTACTAGGTACCAGGGACATTGATTCTGCTTGAGGGGGCAATTTCCCGTTAGGAGGCTGTCAGCCTGCCAGGCCTCTGTTCCTGGAACTTGAGATAAGCTGAGGAGGAGAAATGACTCTGGAGAAAGAGAGAAGGAGGACAGGTGAGAGAGAAAATGGAATTGGTTAGGACAAGAGTGGGGCCTTCCTCCAGGGAAGCCCCCTTCGAGCACGGGTCACAGCTCCGAGTTGGCCCAGGCAGAGCTGGAGGACAGGGCTGCTGGCGAGCACGGGGATAGGCATAGATGGTCTCGGTCACTCTCTGAACAGCGATGGGCAGAGCAATCCTCTGATGGCAGAAGTGCACCCAAAGTGATCCAGGAGATTGGCTGGGATGCCGTTGTCACCCAGCATGACTTGGCACAGAATGGGGCCTCAGCATGGCCACCCTTTGTGGTGACTGTTGATGCAGCTATTAGCAAACAGCAGTGACACTTGCTATTATTGTTGTCACTCATTTCCTTGGCTTGAGTGTACTAACACAACCAGACTGATGCTCAGGATCACAGCAAGAAGACAAGGAAAGGGCTTTAGCACACACCAGTGAAGAAGAGCGACTCCATCCCAGCATGCACCTGTGGTTCCGGGACCTGGCTCTCCATAGCTAACTTAGTTCTGGAGATCCCAGCCTGCCAGGGCCCAGCTCCTATCTGCCTGAGGAGAGCTGGACCTGCTGAGGGCAAGGCGAGGAAGCCTAGCCCAGGGCTCATGGGGCTGGAGGAGCCATCCCCAGGGGGCAGGCAGGTAGAGGAGGCAGCTGCCCCTGTGGTGCTCATGGGGAGGGTGGCTGCAAAGGAAGCAGGAGAAGCACCAGCAGCTCCGAAGGGGCAGAGGGCGCTTGGTGGGTGGGCGAGCCCTGGACGACCATCCATCCCCTCACGGGTCCCAGCCCTCCCTCAATTCCCTGCCTCTCAGCTGCCATGAGGGTCTTGGACCATGACCATGTGGTGCCAGCGGTGTTTTAGCAACATCCAGGCTGTCGGGTGTGCACCATTCACTTACACAAATCCAAGGGATTGCCCAGGAGATGGAATATTTTTGTAGGAGAGAGGGAGGGGAGCAGATGGGGGAGGGAGGAGAGGAGGGAAAGGGAGGGGGAGAAGGAGAGGGAAAGGGAGGGGAAGAGGGAGGAGGACAGGGAGGGGAGGAGGAAGGGAGAGGGGAAGAGAAGGGGAGGAGATGGGGAGGGGGAGGGGAGAGGAGCAGGGAGGACTTTTCTATCACTGAAAGCCCCCTGGTGGTGATGAGCATTGTGGGATCTGACTTTCAGGGCACAGCGGGGACTCAGAATTTGCTTTTGCTTCACTTGTGTTACAGCTGGGATGTGGAGCGGCCCCTAAGGCTGGTCGGTTGGAGGCTCTGCTCCTAGCTAGTGGCTCTGGTGGGAAGCAGTAGAAACTTCAGGAGGCGGTGTAGTGGGAACAAGTAGGCCCCTGGGGGGGCTGCTGTGAAGGACCCCGGGGCCTGCAGCCCTTCCCTTCCTCTGCTTCCTGCTTAGTGTGAGGAGAGCGGCTGTGCTGCACCACATGCCCCGCTGTGACATTCAGCTGTGCCTCGGGTCCAGAGGGAGAGGGCCACGCCCGCGGGTGAGAGCTCCTGGAACCCAGAGCCAGAACAGGCCTGCCCTCCTCTAAGCGGCATATCTCGGGCAGTTTGTCCCGGGGATGTAAAGCTGACAACACAATTTGGTGACTAGCACTCATTGGGCCTTTCTGGTACAAGGGACCACTTGTGTAAAAGCTGACGTAGGAAAGGACATCCTGGATGCCGAGAAGGAGGGCCCTTGTGAAAGAGATTCTGCCTCAGCCTCTTGTTGGCAGAGATAGTGATTAATCGGTTCATGGGATGAAGAGAACTACAGACTCGCTGCTTTAGGCCTAGCTGGATCCCGGGCTCGCATGGCGTGCTTAGGACACGAGCCTCCCCCGTCTCTTGCACTGGTGTCCGTGGCCTTGGCTTCCCTCTCAGAAAGGCTCTTGTGGCCAGCAGTGGACGCAATGCGTGTTCATCCCTCCAGCCTCAAGTCTACTGGAAAGAAAGGCTTCTGTTTCCTAGAAGTCCCTGGAAAATCCCTTGACCAGCTCTCATTGTGCTGACTTGGGTCAGGGGACTCAAGCCAGCTCCCACCCTGCTCCAGGCGAGGCCTTGCATGGGCCACAGGCCAGCACGGCTGGGAAGATGAGGCCCAGGGATGTGTTTCCAGTTGCATCTTCTCTTTGGCTCAGAAGCATTTTTTTTTCTTTTCTGTATTTTAGGGAAGGGTCTACAGGGTGTTTAGGGTCTCACTACTAGATCAGACTCATAGTGATCTGCCTGTTTACAGCCTCCCAAGAGCTGGGATTACAGGCGCTTGCCACACGCCCAGTCTCAATGCTGTTTTAGCGCACTCTGGGGGCAGGACCAGCACGGCAGGCCCCAGGATCGAGCCCCTGGCCCCTGCGCTTGCTTGTAGGCACTTTAATCTGCTGAGCTATTTGGCTGGCCCTTGGCTCAGAAGTCTTATGTGCGCCCCTAATTTCATTTTTCCCTTTTGCCTCTGTTTCTAGCCTTTCCCTACTTGGCAAGCTCGTTGGCTCCACTTGCAGTCACTGCTGGACAGAGCCCTACTGTGCACCTGGTGTGTGCACCGCTTGAGCCCTCACTGTGTGCTAGCCATAAACGGTGTACATGGCTGTGCAAATGAACCCTCGTGCACAAGGACATCACGAGATAGGTGCTATTATCATCCCCATTTTACAGATGAGGAAACTGAGGCATAGAAAGCTTCATTCCTGAGTCAGTGACTGGAGTTTGAGGGTCATGGAGCTCTGACTGGCTGGCAATGATCATATGCCCAAATATCGAGTCAGGACATGGGACATGGGCCTAGGGCCCACACAGACCAGCCGAAAGGATGCTTTCCAATCAAAGAGCATGAGGAAAAAGAGGGAATAATATGGGGGTGGGGGGCGGGGAGGCCCACAAAGTTGCAAATGAGAAAAAGGGGTGTGATGCTATGTTAGGGACAAAAGTGTTTAAACACTAAAGCCTCAGAAGGGCTGTGGATGCAGCTGCCTTTCAGGAACCTCTGGAACCAGCTTTCCGGCTCAGAATGCTTGGACTCTCAGAGCCAGGCTTTCCCGGCGTAGTTTGGCGATTTTCTGCTCGGATTCTGGAGAAGGGCTTTGGTTGGTCAGTTCTAGGTCAGGTGATCAGATTGGACCAATCAGCTGCAGGTTCTTTGCGAGACCCGAAATGTTAAAACCCTGAAAGTAGCAAACATCATTTCTAGAAAATAGGATGCAGAGTAAATGAAGAAGTAGTACGCAAGGTGGGATGCAAATAGCAGAGAAGCTCATGAGTCCCGGGTCAGCGACAGGGAAATTTGTCTCCAACTGTGGAATACGTTGGGCGTGGAGCTGGTGATAGCGGCCCAACGAGGTCCTTGTTCCAGGGCTGTCTTAGCAACTGCAGTGTCCGTGTGGCAGGCAGCCGTGGCAGCATCTTCTCCCCAGTCTGGCTAGTTAGCTACCAGTCACAGGATGCACAGTCATGGTTACCCGGAGGATGTCACACCCTGGCTGATTGCAGCTGGGTTCTAAACCAGTCCCCGGGATGGTGGCTTTGGGGGGGGGGGTGGCCCCCGGTGGCCCCCAGTGGGCTTCGGGTGGGCCTTACCCTGGGCCTTTCTGCCTCTGTTGCAGGGGTGCTCTGGCTGTCGGTGGTCTCTGAGGTGCTCTACATCCTCCTGCTGGTGGTGGGCTTCAGCCTCATGTGTCTCGAGCTCTTCCACTCCAGCAGCGTCATCGACGGGCTCAAGCTCAACGCCTTTGCAGCCGTCTTCACGGTGCTTTCAGGTAAGACTGGGGCACAGCCAGGGTGTGGCACTCAGAGTCCCCTGAGGGCACGGCCTGCTGGTGCCAACCGGAAGGCTTCGACCCGGAGCCTCCCCTCTCTGAGCCCCAAGTCTGCCATCTGTAAAGGTGGTCGCCACCCGCCTGGACACGCACACGGTCTCTGGCACACCAGGCTCTGGGTTGAGTCCCAGGAGCCCAGCAACAAGCATGAGCAGGCAGTCCCAGCCCCGTGGGATGTTACCCGTGTGGGAGACAGGGAAGATTTGCCTGTGAGACCTTCCATTCACTGATTTGTGGATTTGGGGCATGAGGAAGAGAAAGTGGCTCTGCACAATGCATGGGTGCTGCTGACATTTGTGGAGCTGAAAAAGAGGAGTCCTTCCTGCTCGCTGGGGGTGTGGCTCAGTGGCAGAGCGCTTGGGCCCGGAGCCTCCCTTCTCTGAGCCCCAAGCCTCTGCCATCTGTAAAGGTGGTCATCACTTGCCTTGCCAGGCACATTGTCTCGCATGCTTGAGGCTCTGGGCTTGATGCCTGGCTACAAAAGAGGAGCTTGTTTCGGGCGAGGAGACATCGGTCCTCTACTTGGTCCTGTTTGCCTTTGTGAGCTGCACAGAGAGATCGAGCAGGATCTAGAGCCATCACAGGCGTCCAGACACTGAAGCACCAGCCCTGGGAAAGCTGTGGAGATAAGGACTTCAGGAAGAATGCATCTGTCCACCGCACTGCATGGTCCAGAGCACGAAGACAAGAGGCTGCCAAGGAAAGGCCGTTGGATTTGGTGATCCTGTGCCCAGGGTGGTGGCAAGAGATCCCAGTGGTCAGGAGTTAAGCAGCAAGGTCATGGGGAGGGATTAGAAGATGGCTATAAACTATACTCAGAGGAGGGCTGGTGGAAAGAGTGACGGCTTGGCTCTGTAAGATATCTATTCCTGAAAAGCCACATGTAAATCTCACTTCTATAAATCTAATAATCCTAATCTTCATGGGACATGAGCGTGGGAAGAGCTAACTCTCCCCGAATGGAAAGGAAGCTAGGGGCCTCTTGGTATAGGAAATAATGGCCCCCGAATTGAGGTACAGATGCATAACAGAGGAGAACGAAGAACTGAATCCAGGAAATTACTGCACACTGCATAGATCAAAACGCGTGTGACTTGTCATTCCCAACACAGGGGACTCTAATGTAAGAAAACTATGATTGTCATAACACAGCGTCAGTCTGACCCACCCCTACCGCATTCCCAGCTATTCAGAACTGAGATCGTGTTGATTTTGCTTTTCATCTTTTATTCATTTTCTCCATCAACACCCATTGAAGGCTTTCTGGGCACCAGCCACTGTCTAAGTTTGGGGGGATGAAGGGAGGAGACTCAGCCCTCCCCCTCCTGAAGCTCGCCGTCTCCTGGAGTCGGACTCATCCAGTGATTATAATGCAGCAAGCTAACATCTATGCCCAAGTATGTGGGAACCCACCGGAGGGCACCTGCATTTGCGCAGACAGTGGAGATGGGGGAGATGGGACACCAAGAAGGTAGCATTTGAGGGGAAATTTGGAAATCAGGCAGTGTTTGCTTGGGGCTAAGGCCATGTGGCTGAATGGAACAGCGCGGTCAAAGCCCTCATGCGAAGGCAGATTCTGGGAACCTCATGTGTTCAGAATGGCAGGAAGACAGAGTAGGGAGAAGAGGGACATTGAGAGGTAAACCAGCAGAGCTGGGGGAGGGTCTGCATATTTTAAAAATTATTTTTGCCAAAGTCTTCAGATTTTACCGTAATGGCAGTTGGGAGCCACTGAGGAATTCAGAGTGAGGGGTGATGTGGTCAGATGTGCGCTTTGGAATGACTGCTCTGAGTACAAGGCAGAACACAGGTGGAATGGCGTATTTAGGTAGGGAGGGTGCAGGCCACGCAAGAGGTGAGATTCCGCAGGGTTTGGGACTAGGAAGAAGACCCAGTTGGTGGCTCAGAATTCCACCACGTTCAGAGAGTCTGCGGACCTAGACGGGGGAGAAATTAGCTTTTCATTTCTCTAACTTGTAAATGTCACTTAGCATTTTCTTCAACAGACTGCAGGGAAGTGGCTGTGACAGTCTCTTGCAGGAGTTGGGAGGCTTCTCCTGCCACGGTGCCACTCTTACAGATGTTCCGAAACACACAGCGTCAGAAGTATAACATTTATTAAGCACCCCCGAATCTCATTGTTTCATACGTTAACACAACAACACAACAGCTTTGTGCGGTATGCCCACCACTTTCACTATCACTGGTTTCCTCTGTAATTGTATGAATTGTATTTTATGCAGCTCAGAGTATTCTGGGAAGGGTCCAGAGGGCCAGGGACCCCTGATCTGGTGACCCCCTGGCCCCAAGCTGGCCCTGGTCTTGTGCAGATTCCATAGTGGCTGCATCAGAATGTGTGAGGGCTGGAAAGAGCAGGCAGTGGACAATGAGGCCAGCGGGCCACTGAGAGCTGAAGGGCGTGGGCAGCCTGGCTCTACTCTGCTTTCTCTCTGCTCCTGTTCTGCCGCTCCACGAAGCACCAGTGCCCTGCCCCGAGCATGCAGCCCTCCCGTGGCCTGCTATAACCATCAGTGGCCAGCCTGAGGCGGCCACCTCCAGTTCTGCAGCAGCTCCTTGTGGAGTAGAGAGTGGGACTTATTTCCTCTGCCTCCAAGGGCTTATCAAAGTTTTCGCCCCTCTAAGAAATCCAGGTTCTCTCCCTGCGGGGAGTCCCACCACACAAGTAAATAAGATGGTCTCCATCTTTTGGGCAGATAAACAATCTAGGACTCGGGGAGGTTAATTGGCTTGTGCAAGGTCACACAGCTGGTCAATTACGGAGCTGGGATTAAGCTTCCCCCAGCCGCCTTTCCGTGCCTGCTTTCACGGGATCATGCTGTGGGTATAGCTGGGTGGGAGGGGGAGGGCTTTTTAAAGTCTGCAGAAAATAGTAGCTGAGAATTATGCCAGAAGATGTCATAAGGCCGAAGTAGCAAATGTTGGATAGCAGCGATGTAGTATTCATGCCTGGGAGAACCTGAACCCAGCTAGGCAGGCTACGTGGAGGCGGTGAACCTTAAGGCTGTTGTGGAAACAGCCAGGTATTGGACCTGCCAGGCCAGAAGACGAAGTGGAGAGCTGGGTTTGGGAAGCCCCTTGAGGACAGGGAGAGCAGTGCTGGGGCTAGGAGGAGGTGAGGGGCTTCTGGTTGTCCCCATGGGGCAGGCACTGCTTGTGCCAGGAAGGAATGGGCAGGCAGGGCTGGCCAAAAACCAGCAACGAGCCATCTGGGGAGAGATTGGGTCCTGCCATCTGCTGGCCCAGCTTAGCCCAAGGTCAGCAGCGCATAGGAGGGCAGAGGAGAAAGTGGAGTTTGGGGCAGCCCTTGCTCAAACCAGCTATTAGGGTACATTATTAATGATGGGAATTAACCACCTGAGTGTTGTTAATTATAATGACCAGCGCTGAGATGTGACCAAGTCTCTCTCTTTTGACCCGATCTGAATGGGGCTTCTCTGTGTCCTCTTGGTGGCCAGGTCGTGACCTTGGGCTCTGCCCTCAGGGCCTCTTAGGCAGGAATCCTGTGGCTTCAGCTTAGCCAGAAGCCCCCACCCTGACACCTGTCACATTCTCCATCCTTACCCTGGACATTCTCCCCGGGCTGGCCTTTAGCAGGAACCCTGTCATGTCACTGTGTGAATCCCTCTTACTCCTAGGGCTCCTGTTCAAGGCTCTTCCATCCTCTGGCTCCCACCCTGCTCTTGCCCTAAATTTCATTGCCCTTGTAAGGGTGCTCCTCAGTTTATGATGGGGTTATGATCTTACAAGTGAGTTATAAGTTGAAAATACCCAGAACCAAAGCATGCACTGAATACAGCATCCTACAGGCTCCCTCCCCCAGCAACGCAACACACCACGTACCGTGGTAGCTCAGGGCCCACTGAGCTGCGGATCATGGCCCTGACCAGATTGAGGACTGGATGCACATCCTCAGCCCACCCCAAATGTGAAGTCTGGCTACTGTTGACCACTTTTGTACTGCTTTCACACCATCCTAGATTTGGAGAGCTAAGTTCAGTCCGTAAGTCAGGGACCTCTCTCACTACCACCAAACCCCCATCGTGGTGGTCCTCGTGAGCCCTCATTCCCGCCAACTTCAGCTAAAGTGCCTGGGCACTGTTTCCTCTAGGGGATGCGGCTGGGAGCTGGCTCTCGGCAAACTGGCCACACACCACACACTCATGCACACGCCCGCATGCGCACGCACATGCATATGTGCACACATCTTTACCCCTAGTGTGCTGACGAGGGCAGGTCTAATGCCTCCGCGCTATGAGAGTGAGCAAAAGATCCGGTGAATGTTTTCAGACCTTTTGCAGATAGGAAGAAAATCGAAGGATGGGGAGGGAAGGAGGGGAATCAGCAGGGCGAAGATGTCAAATAAACATACACCAGCTCCCCATGATTAACACATTCATCATGTACCAAACTAATAAAAAGAATTTTATATTTACTGTAGCAAAAGTCACAACGGCCATGAATCTCCCTCAAAAATATTTCGCCTTGGTTTGGGCACACTTTTCCCAACTGTGCTTGCCACTGTCTGAAGCGGTTCGGGAAGTCCTTGTTGGTGAGTCTCTTCAGTTTTGCTGCCTTTGAGTAGATCTCAGATGTCTATCTTTCATGCTCATTTCGACTTCGGGGAAGAGGGAAAGGTGCCAGGTCCAGTGAGCAAGCTGCCCGAGTTTCTGATGTTTCATAATGTTTTAGACGAGCCGCCTTTCTGTTGGATGCTGCTTGGCCACAACTGTTTTCCGTCCGATCTCATGACAGAGCATTGGCAGAAGTGCCTCAGTGGTCTAAGTGCCTGCCTGGGCAAGCACAATGCCCGGCTTTGGTCCCCAGCACTGCATGCTGAGGCGGCCCCTGTGCCGAGCAGGCCACCAAAGCCAGGCGTGGTGACACACGCCCGCAACCTCAGGGCTGGGAAGGCTGAGACA